TAGTTAAGTAGGCCACTGCAACAAGAGAAACAACCTCTTAGCCGCCGTAAAAATGGAAAGACCGGAAAACATTGGAAAAAATGGAAATCTTCCCAATCACACCGGCCATCTTTTACCCATGAGTGAACTCTTTAAGAGCAACCCTCTATGACTTTATAAACTCTTAGGACTTACTTATCTCCATTTTAGTGCAAGCCCGATGAACTTTTCGCTTCTAATAGGCCTTTGCTAAGAAAAGATATCACACTTGAGAACAAAAAATTTAGGTACCGAAAATTTAAAATTGCGTTCCTTTACTCCCGTTCGAGCTCTTTTATTTCGATCTAATCATTAATCAAGCAAAACCATATACAATTTGAAAATCCGTCAGCTGTATGCAGGCATCGTACAAAAAAAATACCCACACGCTTGTACGCACAAATGCAAACGCTTAACACAAACAAGCGCATTGTTGGTTAGCTTCTTGTTTACATTCTATTTATTCTTTTTTTAATTTCTTTGTTTATCTACGCTATACGCATATTTGTTGTTATAATACATTTTATTTTTATTTTATTTGTTTGAGTACTTGGCGTATTGCAAACAAATTGAACATGCCCATATAGTTGGTACATGTATATGTGTGTGTGTGTGTGTTGGTATGTACGCTTCTGGCGACGAGCGCTTAATTGAATTTGATTTATTTAGCGCAGCGCAATCCAATGATCGCGCCTCCAGCTGACCGATAGCCGCTACTAGATGCTACCATACCCATACGATTCTATTTAGATTTCTATGGGCCCTATTGCGAGTGTCGACTGGCAGTAGAATAGAAATTTGTCGATCGAGTCGATCATCTTTTATTTTGCTATTGTGTAACTTGATCGATAAAAATTTGCGCTATTGTGAATGGCTGACTGAATTGTAAACAGCTGTTTCTTTGTTTACATTTGTTTCTTTAGTGGTTCATTTACATCATTTTTAAAGTAATTGCTTTTATTACAAAATAAAAAAAAATGGACTTAGTTAAAATATGGTTTAGTGATGAAGGAAGTTGATGTGGAAGCTAATAGATTAGTAGAGTTGGCTAAAGCAAGGAGGGAATTGCGAGATTCGTCGGAGCCCTTGGAGTTGGAAGATGAAGTGTATGTTCATATGTATGTAAATTTTATGAATAGAAGTTGCATTCCCGATGCTTCACGTTTTTAGGTTTTACAGGATTTGCAGGAAAAGCTGTTTTCCTCATTAATAAACTTTATGGAAGTTTAAGAAATACGGTGCGGTTTAGTTATTTGTATAATGATGTTGGGTATTTGTGTCCAAACGCGTGACCCGATTTTAAAAACTTTAACATACACGTGTAGTGAAAGAATCAAACTTTGATTTAAAATAAAGATTTCAAATTTCCGAGCACTAGTTAATTAAAAATTATGCAGTTTTTTAAACTTTGCTGTTGATTCTGCGCAAAAACACTGTGGATGGCGTAGCCGGAGTTATATGCACAAGAAGTATTGTATATCTTTCACAATAGAAGCGGAGCTTTCTCCCCTACTCTTTCCGGAAATTCCTTTGCATATGTCCTCACTCCCCTGCATCAAAACAACCAACCGCGCAACTTGCCTTTTGTTGCTTACAATTTTTGACCTGTAATTCAGACACATACATACATATGCATATTTCACAATTTTTTACAACTTCTAGTTCAATTGACTTACTTTTTATGCATTATAGTACCACTTTCTTACGTAAATTTTATAAACGCACACTCCAACGACTGAAAAACAGCAATAGAAGGATGAGCGATTAAAAAGTATTCACAGTCGCTAATTGAGCGACTAATGGGCTGTTTTTGCTTACGCGTAAATGTACATTTAGCGCATTTAGCTCTAAATGCTACTCTAAATGTACATTTATCCATACAAAATTCGTCATCTAAATGCAACTAAATGCAACTCAATCTTTGCATTTAGAATCTAAATGATAAAAGCATCCCTGTGATCTTCCAAAATTTCCACGATTCGAACATGGTTTAATGAGAAAAAGTGGCAACATTGCTTTTTCGAGTATACAACCGCTAGCTGCGTTTCAGTGATCGCCGATCGAGATTTCATTTATTATTTTACATTATTTGGATAAAGAAAAGTTACGCAAATTCAACATCGATATGATGCTGATCGAAATCTGGATTAATTTGTGATCAACTCTGTTTGTTTTGTTTCCTAATTAGGTGTGGAAAATATAATTGGCAGCACCGACAAATGAATATATACACAAACAAATGTTCGGTTATGGTTAAAACAATTCAGGTTT